CGCTCAGCAGCGGCGGTAGCTGCGCACAGCACCAGGGCTGCTCCGGCCGTCGGCGCACAGCGCATCCTTCCCTGTGGCCTGGGCGCGGGGACGTAGGAGGGACTCAGACAGAGGGGCGCGCGGGCTCTAGGTGGACGCGGGTTCTAAATACGCGCCGACCCTGGCGGAGCCTCGGACGGGTGCAGAAGCCCCAAAGAACAAGGATCAGGTCCAAACCTCCAGCCCTTCGTTTGGCGTGTTCCCGCGACAGCCTTTTTATAAGGCGGGTGCGAGATGGGGCGGAGCAGCTTCGAAGGCGGAGCGCACGTGCCGGGGGCGGGGTGTACAATCCGGGGTGGGGTTCTGTGCATTCGCAGCGGGGTGCAGGGCGCCCTAAGATTGCAAAACTCAGACTCCTCCCACCTGGCTCTGACGCGGCTTCTCTGCAGACCCTGGGAGACGTGACTGTCCCCCTTCCCGTGATCCTCTTTCCTGCGCCGAAATTCCGAGTACTTCCCCACTCCCTCAGCCCCCCTCCCCATCACGCCCCGTTGCACTCAAAAAGGGCGCTGGCATACCGGAAAGCTGGGCGACTGGCATTCCTCGTGCCCTCCTCAAGTCAAAAGCTGGGGAGAGGGCGAGAAAGTGACATAAGAGGAAAGGTCCTGGAGCGCTGAGTCCCGCAGGACCGGGAGGGGAGCCCAGGATGTTTCTGGGAAAGCTTCCCAAGACCAGGCTGCCCCCGCCCCCCGCCCCGCCTCGCCGCCACCACCACCACCCAGATGTCTCCAAGCTCCACGCTCCTTCCCGCTCAAGGATTCGTCATAGCAGAGGTGTCTGTGGATTCTTTAATGTCCCTCATCATCACCCTTCCCCACAACCTAGTGCCCTGTTGGCAGGGCCCGTGTCTGTCCTGTTAAGTCTCCAGCTCAGAGTCTCACTTCCCACACTCTCTACCCCCAGGATCTGCAGTGTCTGAGTCTTGCCTGCATCAAAGCAGAAACCTCGGAACAGAAAGAGGGGATACTTGGAAGGAAGGCCAACCCATTCATTCATTCATTGGGCAGTCAGCTACTCCCCTATATGGAGTTCCCAAGTTGGTGGCAGAAAGACCCCAATACTCTGAGACTGGGGAGTGAGCAAGGCTGGGACAGAGGAAGAGCTGAATGCAGCTGTGAGGCTGCACCATGTCCGTTCCACAAGGGTAAACATTTATCCAACAAACTTTCACTAAAGTCTCCCCCCGCCACCCCCTACCAACCCCCCTACACCCTGTCAGGAAAGAGGCTGGCACAGAAACATCCATCTGCCAGGAAAAACCCGGGGGCAGGTTAGTTCCAAGTTCTGGCAAGAACAGAGTTGACTCAGCAGGGCTTGGAGCCAGTTCAGCCTCTGTAATCTGAAACTGCATGCCTCAGGCCTGATGTGCAGCTCACCACTCACATTTGGCCGGCCCAGATCCCAGGATCACAGATCTTGGCAGCCATGCCAGGCAGATGGGAAGGGCAGGGAGGAAAATCTCCACAGGAGTAGACCTGGACAGTCATCATCTGCCCTGGCAGCCAGCCTGTCCACGCCCGAAGCCCATGGCCTCCGTCTGAGTGGGTGACATTGCTATGCCAGACAGTGTTCTTCATCCCTGGCTTCCTGCGCTGAGATAAACGATCAGTTACTTTCCCAACCTGATGGCCTTTCCATGACCCATTTTTTAGCGGCTTCTTTCTCAATGCCGTGTTTCAGAGGGCACAAAACACCAAAGGCCCTCTCTCAGAGGCAAGTGCCCTGAACAAGGTACGAAAGTATTTCTCCAGGAGCTTGGCTCTTGATTGCATCCTAAAAAGTGCTCTGTGGAATGTGCCCTATGCCCCAGCAATGACATGGTCACCCTAATCAGTTGTTTCTTTTTATTTTTTGTACTTTTTATTTTTAATCCTCATCCAAGGATATTTTTCCATTATTATTATTATTATTATTGAGAGAGGGAAATATGGAGAAAAATATTGATGTGAGAGAAACATATATATTGGTTGCCTCCTGCACGTGCCCTGACCAGGGCATGGGCCATGGAGGAAAGAGCCTGCAATTGAGGTACGAGTCCTTGACCAGAATCGAACCCAGGACCCTTTGGTCCACCGGCAGACTCTTTATCCACTGAGCCAAAACAGCTAGGTCTCCATTGTTTCTTCTTTTAAAAATATATTTTTTATTGATTTTAGAGAGGAAGGGAGAGGGAGAGAGAAATAGAAACATTAGTGATGAGAGAGAATCATCTTGCACAGCCCATTCCAGGGACTGAACCCACAACTCCAGCCCCAACCTGGAATCGAACCTGTGACCTCTTGGTTCCTGGGTCGATTGCTGAACCACATCTGGGCAATCAATTACTTCTTTTTTTTTTTTCCAATTACTTCTTGAGTGCTCCAGTTCCAGTGGGCCATAACGGTGGGTAAGACACCACAGGCCCCACATAGACTACTCCGGTTAAAGTAAATGGCATAGAAAGATGACATGTCAGCTGGAATGTCTCATCAGAAAGAGAAGCAGACTATTTTTGCTTGTCTGTAGGCAGCTGAATGAAGTCCCTGCCTTTGGTAGTTTTCTTTTATCTTTGTATTTTCTTTTTTAAATTAAATCTTTATTGTTCAGATTATTACAGTTGTTCCTCTTTTTTCCTCCCATAGCTCCCCTCCACCCGGCTCCCACCCCAACCTCTGCCCTTACCACCCTCCCCCACTAAGAATAGTCAGACCTTTGGTAGTTTTCAATCTGAGGCAAGACCCCATCTAATGACCAATGTCTTTCCATCTGTATCTCCAAGACTTCAGTTACTGGGGGCCCTCAGTCCCTCTTTACTAATTTCCAATCCTTGGGACTTCTCCTGGGTGGGACAGGAAGAGCTGCTAATAATAAAAATAGTGAAAGCCCTCGCTGGTGGTTCAATGGTTAGAGCACCAGTCTCCCCCCCGCCCCCCCTCTCTCACACACACAAGGGTCTTGGGTTTGATTCCCAGTCCAGGGCAGGTACCTGGGTTTTGGATTCACTCCCCACCCCTGGTCAGAGAACATGCAGGAGGCAACCAATTGATGACACTCTCTCTCTCTCTCTCTCATTATCATGTATTGCATTATAGATTAATTACACATAACGTTCTTTTATACATTTTAACCCTGAACATCCTATAGAATAAAGAGGTAATATGCAAATTGACCATCACTCCAACAAACAAGATGGCTGCCCCCATGTGGACACAAGATAGCCAGCAGGGAAGGGCAGTTGGGAGTGACTAGGCTGGCAGGGGAGGGCAGTTAGGGGTGACTAGGCCAGCAGGGGAGGGCAGTTAGGGGTGACCAGGCCAGCAGGGGAGGGCAGTTGTGGGTGATCAGGCCAGCAAGGGAGGACAGTTAGGGCCAACCAGGCCTACAGGGGAGGGCAGTTTGGGGTGACCAGGCCTGCAGGGGAGGGCAGTTGGGGGCGATCATGCATGCAGGGGAGGACAGTTAGGGGTGACCAGGCCGGCAAGGGAGGGCTGTTGGGAGCAATTGGGCCAGCAGGGGAGCAATTAGGGCAGAGGAATGGTGTGAGGGGGTTCAGGATGGGAGGCAGAAGCGGTTAGGGGCAATCAAAAAGGCAAGCAGACGAGCGGTTGGGAGCCAGCAGTCCTGGATTGTGAGCGGGATGTCCCACTGGGATCGGGCCTAAATGGGCAGTCCGACATCCCTTGAGGGGTCCCAGATCGGAGAGGGTGCAGGCTGGGCTGAGGGACACCACACCCCTCCCTGGTGCACAAATTTTGTGCACTGGGCCTCTAGTAAGAAAAATAATTGTTGTTTGAAAAAGTTATTTCATGCAGCCATTTGGTTTGTATCAGGAGGAAGTGAACCTCCAAGAGTTTAGTGTCTGCCAACTTAACATATTGTTTGTTTGTGGGAATATATATATATACTAGAGGACCAGTGCACAAAAATTTGTGCACTCGGGGAGGGGGGGGTCCCTCAGCCCGGCCTGTGCCCTCTTGCAGCCTGGGACCCCTCGGGAGATAACGACCTGCTGGCTTAGGCCTGCTCCCGGATGGCAGAGGGCAGGCCCAATCCCTAGGGGCAGCCCCTGGTCGGGCTCAGAACAGGGCCGATTGGGGAGCTGGGGCGCCGCCCTCTGTCATGCACAGAGCAGGGCAGATTGGGAGGTTGTGATGCCACCCTCAGTCACGCTCAGGATAGGGCTGATTGAAGGGTTGGGCACCGTCCCCTGTCACACTCAAGGCAGGGTCAATGGGGAGGTTGCGGCACCTCCCTGTCACGCACAGATCAGGGTCAATCGGGGTTGGGGC